CTTCGCTATCCGAATCGGTGATTGACTCAATCTGTGCCAGAGGGTCTGGCACGGGTTGCGCTACTTCGGATTTCTTGTAGTCGCGAAACAGGCGCTCTGTCGCATCAACAAGCAAGCTAGCGCCGAGGGCAGAGACGTAGTCGAAAACACTGGGAATATACTGGTACTGTCGATCTTTCTTCATGACCTCCGACAGGCGATGCGTCGCTGTTTCCACCTCCACGAAGAGTTCCACGGCAACAGCGAATTTCTTCCAAGAGATCCTATCTCTGCCGCAGTAGATGATGGGGTTCTTCGCCAAGGCCAATTCTTGAACAACCCACCGTCGTGAGAACCATGGTCTTTGCATCAGATCTAGTAACGCGACCCATTTCTTGCTCGCGTCCTGACTGTCGCAGAGGGTGTCGAAGCTTCGTAAATGTGAGACTTCTTTCTTGATGAAGCGTAGTGCCATGCGACTGGATTCTGTCGCGTCCCCAAGCCAAATGCAAACTCGCGAAGCGTTGCCGTAAATTATGTTCATCATCTCGACTTGATGATTCTTCTCACCCAGGCTACAGAAGTCAGCGATTATTGATTGAGTATCATTGACTGACCTACTCGTCTTGGTCGATGCAAACCATGTCAATCCACAGGAAGCGGCTACGGTCCGGGTAGCGAAGTGCCTTCATAGCAGCCACAAGGTTCGGGCTCACTTTCTTAATGTATGTCTTGCGATTGCGTTGAATCCTGATCTCAGCAGACTTGCCTGCTGTGCCCCAGCACCACGACAAGGCTTCATAGGGATATTGGTGTCTCTCGTTCTCGCCTGGTGTGATCAATGCACAAAGAACTCCAGCAGCCGAAGTTTCGCTAGAGAAAAGCTCAAGGATCCGAATGGTCCCCTGGCTGCGTGGCAAAGGTTGATAGCTGAAAGTGCTGTATTCACGACGATGTTTCCACGACGAGTTGCCCGTTCCATGGACATCATTGCTATCCTTGCCCCGCCTCTTGCCCGTCCTGGCCTTTTGTTGCTCTGACAAGTCGTTATCGGTGGAACTCATTGCAATCGAATTCAGAGTAAGTGCTTTATGTACGATGACAGGTGCTTAAGTTAGAGCAAGCACTTCGGCTGGCTAGAGCAACCTGAAGGCCTTTATACCCGCGAGGCCGAATCAGACTCCTGGGTCAGACGCTCGGCACGTTAGACATCACCCTTTTACAGAGTGACTGAAGCGAGCGCATGCCTCAGGAAGCGTCAAGCACCATTCCGGTAGAATTAAGCAATGCAAGGTAGCAACGCGACTGCCGTCCAAGGTCTGATTGGACAGGTGATGCTGTTTGGTGGAAGCATGCGGGTGCAGGGTGTTCGCGCACGGCGCCTAGGTACTCATTCTGTAGTACAAGGACAAGTAGCGGAGGTTCGCGAAAGCCCGCACAGCCTTGTGGCTGATCGTCCGGCCTGGCTGCAGGAGAACAATGTTACATTGCATAACAGAGTTTTCAGCCTTGGCGCATGTTTCCGGGATCTTACATGGAGAGTTGAAGCAGGAGGCACGGTTGAGGAAAGACCACGCGCCAGCAGAGCGCTTGTTGGCATGACGGGGGCCGACTTTGTCCTCGGCCTTGGGCCTGGCGAATGGTCATGACATGACACAGGGTGCTGATCAAATTAGCGAACGAAAAACAGGCGTCAATCAGCCACTTCATGAGCTTGAGAGCTGAGAAGCTGGGAAGGCTGAGAAAGCGGGATGGAAGGCCTGCTTCTGGCCGCACGAGCAGCATCTCCCGCGTGGTCAGCTATAGTTATGACCGCGCATCAAGAGGAGCGGTGAGTAATCCATGGGTAGCAGTTCAGTCAGTGGTGCGCGGAAGCGATTGTACGTCGAGATTGGAGGTGCGAAAGTGTAAAGCTGAGGTCCTGCAGGTCAAGCCTTCATGAGGCGCACACTAGCGCGACTTCCCGCTTTCACCCAAGCGACGGCTCCACGCGCCCGCACCTCCACCCGTTCCGTCTCTTCGGAGGTCTAGATTTTCACTCCTTGAACAGCTGAGAAAGTGTGTAAGCAATGAATAGCGAATCATCAAAAGCACTCATCCGGATCCGGGGTTGGAGTAAGCGAAAAAGGTTATGGTGTATATTCTTTACGTATCATGGCAGGGCCAGGCATTCGGGTCGTTATCTTAGTCGCCGGCATATGGGGCGCTTCATTACTTCTTACCGTTATCGATTTGGACGCGCGGGACGGCTATGGTGGAAGGAGGTTGCGGCTCAGAACCTGGTTCTATGGCTTTGGCCTGCTTCTTGAAGTGTTTCTGCAGCTGAGCTATGGCCGCATTCTCGTCTTGCTTGACAGCCGTGTGGCTCTCCTTATCGCGGTCCCTCCAGTTCGGGCCCAGAATCTCACCAAGACTGATGGAAGCTCTGCGGTTGATGTTCCGTCTCATACGTGGGTGCCACATGTGATCGTGCACCATGCCCTTGCCGAAGAGTTGAGGCTCCCGCAGTAGCGGGCTTCCCCATACCTTGTTGACCTCGTGAACGTATCGCGCATACGGGAGCGTGTTGGACCTCTCCACCACTCTATTTTCTCTCTTTTTGGAGCGACCATGGCCAAACATGTTTATGAACTGCGACTGCAAGGCTTTGAGTACGGTATGGTAGTGAACAAAGACGCCGAGATTTCGTAGATGCACAAGGATCCGTAGACCTGCGCTCCACTCTAATCGGCGTAGCATCCGGCGCTGCAGCAACCGACGACGGTAATGCTTCTTGGCTAGCGTCGGGCCCAGCATGGACTGTTCGAGAGGTGCGTTTGGCAGGAGTCCAGCTTTGAAGCCCCAGATGATGAGACTTTGCTGAAGGGAGGGGGCGAACAGTCGTCGAACGGGGTGCAACGGATTCTCGCGCTGTGTAACCGTCGTTGGGAAGTGAAAGTAGTGATATCGTTCAGGGTATGCAGCACGCAGTTTCGCTGTCGCCGGCTCGAGAAATGGTGATTTTGGCAACGTGCTGAACTGGTAACTGCTTCTCGGTGCATACCAGCAAAGAAGCCAGAGTAAAAGTCTTCTAAGCTCCCTAAACCTTCCAACCATGCCAAATCTGCGTACGATCTCGCGCCATTGGAGTGGAGAGATGGGGGCTAAACCGTTCTCTAGAATCATGACGAATACACGTGCGACGAAACGCAAGTCATCGAATCGGTCACTGACAGGCTTGTGTCCTCGTTGCCGACGACGCAATAGGCTGCGAATGGCCATGATTGATTCAGGCGACACCATGATGCCGCGAGCACGCATGTCTTGGAGCACTTCCACGACATGCTTCTGTCCAGAGCGTTTAATGTAGACTTGCAAGAGCAGGTTCCAAGACTCTTGACTAGAGTCATTGTGGAAGAGCGTTAGAATGGCAAGTGTGCGCTGGACTTGCGCATAATCGTCGTTGTCAAGATAGTGCTCGAGCAGCTTGCGTTGCATTTCCACGTCGCCAAAGACGTCCGGATGCTGGTCGCTTTGCAGCATACTGCGCACCAGTTGCCATTTCTGCTCCATTGCGAACGTCTCCAGTGCCAAAGAGAAGACGCAGCCCTGCAGGGCAATGCCTGCTTGCCTGAGCTCTTCGAACCTCATAGGTAGCTCCTCCACCGGTTGTGTTTGCAGGGCCATGGTGAGCACAGCTTGAGGCCCAATCTCGTTGATGCCCACCATAGAGAGACCTTGTATGATTGAAGCCGGTGGAAAGGTACGCGTTGCGAACATGCGGGCGACGAACGAGTCTTCGAATCGGACGGGCGCGGTATCGGGGCCTTCCAAGCGGCGCAGAAGGTTCTCTTTGTATTTTGCTGCACCCCGCCTCCACTTCTTCGTCGACCCTTTCGTATCAAAGTAGACCTCACGAGCTGAATCCTCAACGGTAAACAGCTGGACGAGAGGATGTGACGCGACAGACTCTGACGGCATATCATTGCGGAGAGTGCAGATTGCATGCCATCGGCGTGCCGCAGTTATGTCACCCTTCTCAATGAGCGCCGGCACCACCTCGTCGTAGAGGTCCCGCTCATTGCTGTGCTCGTATATCTCCATCAATGCTTCGTATGCGCCGTGCTTGTAAGTCGATCGCCCCTGATGTGCCAGCTGCCGTAGAGGAAGCCGCTGAGGCTTCAAGCTCTTTTGAATCGCGTAGTGATGCCTCAACGCTGGTGCTGTTCTTCTCGGAAGCCAGTGGCTCATGACCAGATAGTACAGACCAGGGTATGTCTTGCCTGTCTCGTGAAGCAGCTCCTCAGCGTGCTCTATCGCCTTGTCCGCGATCAGGTGGTTCTTCACAAAAGTTCCCCATAGGAACGCGGCATCGGGTGTGTCTTCAGTGGGCAGGCGGTACCCTCGACGGCGGAAGTTCTGCCAGACATTGCGGACACCCTTTTTCCCGTGCAGTCTCTCTTCACTTGCAAGGATAGCGGCGAGTTGTGCAGGATCGTCTTCCCTTTCCGCTACACGTACGACGTCGTTTTCGAAGATATCTACGGTCGGGACGAGGGCGTCGTTGGACTCGTCACGCTGGAGTGCCTTGAGCACGTGGTCTCGGACTGCCGCGTCTTCGCTTGCATCCTTCATTCGCCTCCATTTCAGCTTGGGTGGAGGTTTCGGCTTGGTCGAGTAGTTGCGGCGGCGTGCTACTGGCGGGCAGCATTTTGTCGCCGCGGAACAGGCTGCGGGGAGTTCGGGGGCATTGACGATGGAGCGCAGGAGTCGCAGGGCTGGCGGGCTGGCGAGGAGCCTGTCCAGAGCCGGTGGCATCAACAAGACAGGGGCGAAGGGCGAAATCAGTCCATTGGCGTCGCAATCGCCGTGCGTGAACTGAGCATGCGGAAAGTTGTTGCGCCCAAAGCGGCCAAGGGCCTTGGCGGCCGACTTGCTTTCGCCGGCGGATCATTCGACCTCGCGACATCACCAAATCGACCAATCCACGAATCCACCAATTGCCCCCGCAAGCCGCGCAATACTCCTCTACACTCTTCAAAATGCCTGGGTACGTTCATCCTCGAGCTTTAGGCCTGGCCGCGGGCCTCGGAGAGCACCGCGACAGCCTCTAGCGCTCCTCCGCCTTTCCGCACAGAGCTGGATACTGACAGTCGGCAGCTGGGTTATGCGCGAGAACAAGGTGCCTTACTGGCAACGCGAGTTCCAGAAGCACGACGGACTGAGGACCTGGGAGAAGGTGCGTACTGAACATACAAGAGGAGGGTTGATGGGGGCATTAAGTGGTCAGAGATGATGCGCATGTGGTGCTGGACACATGGCGTCTGGAAGTGAGAAAACACAGGGACAAATGCTGACAGATTGCTTCTTAGGCCCGCGGAAAGTACCTGGTTCCTGGCTTCAAGGTCATCATGTTCAGCAGCCTCGGCGCCAGCATGTACATGATGGGCCGTCTCGTCCTTGTAAGTTTGCATTGGGTTGAATTGAGTGCAACATCATCACTAACTATTTTCAGGGACACAAGACCTGGTTCGGCAAGAACTAGACTCCGCACTTCGAGCATGATATCCAGATGGGTGGGACCAGCATGAGTCTTCTGCATCAATATACAATCAATCGACAAGTCTTTACCCATTACAACATCTCCTTTGTCAGACCGTATAGAACAATCTTCATTGTCTGTTTACGCTGTGTTCACTTATTCTGAAGTAATGCTACCACGCAGCTACTACGTGGCTGACAAAACACGAATGGCTGTCACTTGCAACGATGACTAGATTGACTTGCGAGAATACGTCTTTGGGTCGACCTTGCGGATACGTGTGAGGCAGCAGACAGTTTAGTTACTCGGACTGCAACGGGGCTTGATATTGAGCTTCCATAGTCATGGCAGAGTGCCCATTCCTACCAGTGTCGAGTACGGACACAACCACTTTAGATGAGCAGTCTGGCATACCAATGTCCCCAAGAAGCTAATATCAAAACACCCGACCGAAATTTCACAATAGGCTGCACCAGATCCAGGCGCGAAACCAGAAGGTGCTCTGGGGTAGCTTGCCCAGATGCCCCTCCACATGCGTGCTAGTCGCTGTAAAATGAGGTCAGTGCCTGGAACGTGGAACCGAGCCGAGATCCTCCAAACCACCTCCCGCGCCGCCAAATCTCCACGTACGCTCCTTCGTTGTGACGCATCGACACAATGGCAGACTTCGTCAAGGGTCTCTTCGGTGGCCAAAAGCCTGTCCAGGCTCCAGTTGTTGGTGATGATGGTACGTACACTACATTGCATGCGCGGTCGCGAGGCCACCAGCCTGGGAAGCGGGACCATACGAGACCCCTTTGCGACGCTCGAATTCTTGACAGGAGATGGAATCGCGAGGTTATCGTGAGGATACCATCGGGAATTGCAGAGCTTATCAATATACATAACCAATGGCTGCGCTAACACCAACCAGACTTCGCCGACTACGCAGGTGCTCCTGAGCCCACACCCGCTGCCATCTCGTCCTTCACGACCGGTACCGGTGCAGCGCAAGCCGCTCCTACAGGCCTCGGCGACAACCGGCCCTATACAGCATGGTACCGAGTGTGGGAGCGCACCACCATGGACGACTTCAAGCTGGAGATGTACATCTTGCCATTCCTCGTTGCTCTCATCGCGGTCCACCTCTGGGGCACCAAGCGCAACCGCAGCAAGGCCAAGGCATGGATGAAGGCCCACGCCCCTGTCCTGACCCAAGAGTTCGCCCAAGTCGGCTACACGCGCCCAGACGGAGAGGGAGCGGTTGCAGATGTGGACAGCATGCTCAAGGAGAAGAAGGCCGACGAGTACCAGACCTACGCGACTGGACGCCAGAACGTTGCCTTCGTCGACTTCAGGCTGAGTTTCTACAAGCGCGCCAACCCCTTCATGTGGCTGGGAGAGAGCGTGCTTCCCTTGTTCTTCGAAAGTTTCCCGGCACCTAGCGAGCGTCTCGAGGCTACGGCCTACGTTTTCGATGGCAGGGAGACCAAGTTCGCTCCTTCGTACGGTCAGGCGGACGCGAAGAAGGTCACCAACAGCTCTTTCGACGGCTTCGTCTTCGCAATTGTACACAAGGATATCATGAAGCGCATGCGCGATGAGCGCTACGACTTGTCTCTGACCAGCACGCGCGATCACGCCAAGTTGCCTGTCTGGGTCACTGTCATGAGCGAGAGCGCCGAGGTTACCGATATGCTGCTCACACCCGAGCTCATCAAGGCTGTGAACGACGCCGGAGACAGCTTCGAGGCCATCATCGTCAGCGACCAGCCCGTCAACGCGCCCAGGACGTAAGTCATCCGGCATTCAATCCCTCTATAATATGATCCAAGCTAACGTTTTCTAGCCTCGACGAGACCAAGCCTAAGAAGCGCCTCAGCCTCTCCCTGAAATTCGCCTCGGACTACTCCACCACCATGCCCATCTTCCAATACTTCCTCCGTCTTACCGACCAGCTTGCTTCTCATGGACACTTCCGCCCCGAAGCCCTCCGCCGCATCAAGCAGACCCGCGACGAGCAAATCGCCAAGATCAAGAAGGCAGATGATGAGGAGAAGGCCGAGGAGAGGAAGCTTTCGCTTGACAAGGCAAAGAAGGAGATGAGAGACGCCAAGCTGGGTCGTCTCAGCGCCGATGAGCAGCGCAAGTTCCTTGAAAAGGAGAGGGAGAAGAACGCGAGGAAGGGTATGAAGAGAAGTACCGTCAAGGCATAGGCTCCTTCTGATGGATTGAAATGAGGTCAGGTTGGGCAAAAGTCTTGGGTCAAGCTTGGATGAAGTGGCACATGGGATGATTGTATTAGTATCAGGGAAACCACGGCATTTGTGTCGTGGTAGCAAAGAGTAGTAATTCATTAATCGCACGCTACCTTACAGACAGAGAAACAACGCGCCGTCAATTGCCCAAAGCATTCCATCTTGCAAACTCAAACAACAAGAAAAACAAACCGAAACATCGCTGTGCGTCCAAAAAAAGACTTCCGCAAAACAGTCTTCTCACGCTTTCTGTGCCCTCTCACGCCTACGCATACCGTAAGATCCACCAGGAGGCCCACTCTCCTGCGCCTGCGGTATACCGATATGCGTAGTGAACCCAGTCTCGATAGCGGCCGCGGTCATGACAGCAGTAGGGTTCTGATGCATTGGCCACGGAGTCTCGAGTCCGGCTGCGTCGAGTGAAGAATGACTGGATGGGAAGTTGTCCATGACGTAATGCGGACACCGCATTATGCTACCATAATAATCCACGCATTTGGTAAAATCACCGTCAGTCGACGAGGGAGTCGGCGTGGGAGTCGGCGTGGGAGTTTGGAGTGCCTTGTGATCTCTCAGATTCGATAGAAATTCCTGCGTGCGCGATACCCCACACGAAGTCAAGCCGTACTCGCCCATGCATTCGAGAAAAGTACCTTCAGTCGGCAAGGGTGTTGGCCACGGAGTCTGGAGTGCAGGTATGTGGAGTTCGGAATGTTTGGATAGGACGGCGTCCGTGTAGTATTGTGGACAGCGAGTTAGACCACCATGCTCACCCAGGCATTCCATAAAGACACCGTCAGTCGGCAAGGGTGCTGGCGACGGAGTCTGGAGTGCGGCTGCCTTGGACTTACTCATACTCGATAGGGCTTCGTCGGTGTAGGATTGCGGACACCAAGTCAGGCCACCGTTCTCGCCCATGCATTCAAGGATGATAGCGTCAGTCGGCCATGAGGTTTCGATTGCAGCTGGACTGGTCTCAGTTGGCATGGATGGGAGGTCGTTTGTGTAGTGTAGTGGACACCATGTCGTGGCACCACCCTCACCCAAGCATTCGGTCATGACACCGACATGCGGCCGCGGAGTCTCGAGTGCAGCTTGGTCGTGCTCAGTTGGCATCGCTTGGAGGGCCTCCGTGTATTGCATCTCAACAAGGCCATCCTCGTTCAACATCGACTGAACCGAGTCATTGCCATCGAAGTGGTCCGGATAAAGTGCCCACGAGGAACATTCGGGGGTGTCGCATGCACAGTAAACCAACCCTTTCCCATCCCCGCAATCGACCAGAAAAGGATGGTAAGAGAGTGGAAACATATATCCCGGTTGATAGATTAAGAGATTCGCTGGATCGTAGCCGTTTGGACAGCAATAATCAGCGATCTCGTCGTACATGGAGCCATCGACTGGCATGTTGGAGTCGCTGGCAGTCGTCAAACCAAGTCCACCTTTAGCAACCTCCCTCGCCATCTGTCGAATATGACTCCAGTCCGCGCTGTCTTCACCTAAACTCCACGCCATGACGCCACCGAGCTTGTACTTGCGCACGATGTTGTCGAATTTCCTTGTGATGAGTTCGGGCGTATCCCAAGTCCAGAAGAGGCGGTTTGTGGCATCGAAGTAGTATTGTCCGCCAGCTACTTCGTCAGTAACACCGTGTTTGGCTGCGAGCTGCCATGAAGCTGCTACATCGGCGTCCGTACATCCAGATCCAAACGCGTGTTGACAGGCGCCGTTGCAGTGTTCAGGCGAAGTACCGCAGTGGCCGTGTTGAGAACAACAGCCTATCTCACACTTGGTTCCCTTTTCTGGACCGCAGGTGCCGTCTTGGGATACGGTCAGAGAGGAGGCATCAACGGGGCGCATGCGAGATCTCTCAAAGGTCCAGGCGCCAGAGGTGAGCGTGTCTTTGCCTTGGGCATCTTCCGCGAGGGCGATGGGGCAGTTGAGGGGGCTGGCACTGCAGTCGCCTTGCGTGGTGAAGTATTTTGCGTAGTATGCGAAACCGAGGTTGAGCTTGGAGGGTGGTGCGCCCATGGCGAGGTAGTCCTTTATGCTGTTTTCGGCATCGATGGCGGAGCTGTGGTGTTTGGTTACTGTGTCTCGGCGGTTCATTAGGTCGTAGCTCATCACCTGGGAGAGTTAGTATGATCTCTGCAAGGTTGGTGTGAGAGAGATGATGTCACTTACGTTGATGAAATCGACGGATGGCCAGATCTGAGGTCCGGTTGTTCGAGTGTATCCAAGCATGTCAACTACTACTTGTCAGTTGACTTGCTTCAAACAAGTATATGATGACTGGCCTTCTTTTCCTGGGACAGCGATCGAAAGCAGCTTCTTCCCAATAGCGGCACGGATGGCAGCCAGTAACTTAGGGAACGCGGCGATCTGGTAAGTCTGATCCCAGTTCGCCACTTGTTTGTAGTCCGCCCCGTTGCCGCCAGGATATTCCCAATCGATGTCTTCTGTTGTGAGCATCGACAAGTAACCAATATAGGTAGATGGTATACTCACCGACTCCATCTGCTCCAGTCCTGGCAAGCATAGTAGCAACATCAGCGGCAAACGTGAGCATCGATGCGTCGGACTTCGTGGCTTGACAGAAACCAACCGTATCGCCCCAGCCGCCAACAGCAATCATGACCTTTGCGTTGGGGAACTCGGTGCGGATGGTGTGTATGGGAACTTTGGGCTGGAACGTAGCTGTTGCGTTAGCTGGGGCAAAGGCGAGGATGACATGGTCGATGCCAGCTCTATCTCGTGGGTTGGTTG